ACCCAACCTGCTGTCCACCCAACCTGCTGTCCACCCAACCTGCTGTCTACCCAGTCTGCTGTCCACCCAGCCTATCTGAATGCTGTGAATTAGTTTTGATGTTGCTTGAATAAAAGAAAAAGCATATTTAATAAGGTAAATATTATGAAGATGGGATTCTGTCTCTGATGTCTTTCCAGAAGTGGGTTTATCACAGTACCTAGGACTTTGTTTAATAAGATCCACTCACCAGGAGAATATCTTAGAATTTTCCCCCCTGATTTATTGGTATTTTATTTATGCTGTGCCTGGGGATTCAGATTTGTGGGTAGAGAAGGAATTGACCAGGAGAGATTAATTCCAAGAACTGAGATCCTCCTGGTATTATATTCTCAGGACACATTCTAGAAAGGCTCCAGACAGAGACTTGGGGGTCTTTTGCTTCTCTCTTCCTTTTCCCAAGGACCCCGCTGAAACCCTGAAGCCAGCTTTCTAAAGGCTTCCTGGGTTTCCGCTTTTATACATCCCTTCTGCCAAGCCCCTTAGCCAGGAGAACCCCTGCCCCCAGTGCACTTAAGTCCCAGACAACAGAGGACTTCCTGCTTCTTGTTTTGGCATTAATTTACCTTTTCTGAAATGGAGATATTATTTTGATGGCAATATTTGAAATGAAAAAAAATATTGCCTCTAGGATGAGTGTATAGGGATGGATTGTTCTCTTGGGTACCAAGGGACTATTATGCAAGTCTGTGGACACCAGTATTGGAAACCTACCTGTCTGTGGAGCCCTTTGGATGTGACTGCCCTGCTGGTTGTGAGTTCTAGGTCACTGCCCTAGATGCATGTGATATGGAAACACGTTCTCTTCATGACTGCCTCATTAAAGACTATTCACGGCTCACACATTTGCCTCCAACTACAGGATGTGAGGAAGCTGGGGATGGACCAGTGATCCTTGAAATTATCTAATTAATTATGCATAACCAATTCCATACAACTAAATAGAATGCAAAACCATACAGACTGTCAAATACCCAGTGAAACGAAAATATCATTTAGTCTAGAAATTGTTCTGGTGTCTGTGCTGTTTGAAAATGTCTCTTTACCCACACACGACTCAAAAGTTGTCAGACATGATTAAGAAAATTTATGGATAACACCTTAAATAATTTTGAGAAAACTAAGGAAAGTGAAATAGACTAAAGTCACTGTGCACGCTGGGATCTATTTGAAAGAGTTGACCCTTAGGCCCCGAACAGCAAATGAATACTTGGACACATGTACCCATCCCCCAATACAGCACCCCTACAGGCAATGTGACAGTGAACTCTAAAGGTGATAACTCAGTTGTGTATAGTGGTGTGACAGCTACTGTATAACATTTGTCCAGCCTGCATGGACAATCCCTGCATGTCCTACAAAACTAGATAGTGAAATACTGCTAAAAATTAAAAGTTGGGTATGGCAATACATGTCTGTAATTCAAGCAGTGGGGAAACTGAGGCAGGAGACTCATGAGTCTAAGGTTAACTTGGACTACGAAGCGAAGGAAAGACTGGACTGGGCTACATTAAAAAAAGAAAGAAAGAAAGAAAAAAAAAGATCCCATCATTGGAAGCAGGCAACAGTAAGATCAAGCAAACAAAATCAGTAAAGGAGGTGATAATTCAAATGAACATCTTTTCTCTCTTGCAAGCTTTTGGGCATCTTTGTGAGTTGATGCATGGTTTGGGAGTAGGTGGCTGTCAGAGGCATTTGAGACAGAGAGCTAAAGAATTGAGATATACTGCTACATAATGGCAGAATTAAAACAAAATTGGAGTCAACAAGATTGATAGGTAGCCCAGGGGATGTCATGTGTTTCCAACAGTGCTTGGGAAATAATAATGGCTCTGAAAATGATCTTTAAAATTATTTGGGATAGGTCTTGCTACATAGTATAGGATGCTCTTGAACTCACAGTAGTCCTCCTGCCTCAGCTTCTTGAGTGTTGAGCTTGTAAGTGTGGGCAACTCTCTTCAAGTCAATGTTTACTGTTATTATTATTTTTATTATTCTCTCCTCATTTAATCAGTATGCCTAAAGATAACAGGATTTGTTGCCAAAGGACCCAGCTTTCCTTGTATCTCCCTGGATCCAGCAGAGAGAGAAATGAGTATTAAAAATTTAATTCTCTACACTCTCCGAACTTTGTCATTGAAGAAGCCCTCGCGTGACCTCCAAGGAGGCAATTCTGTGTCTTCGGTTCATTAGTTCATCACGACTTACCGTCAGCCTCTCTCACCACCACTGCGAAGTATTTCACGGCTCCGTTGGTGTCGCTGAACCAGCTGCAGTTGACAGTGAAGTTGATGGAGGATTTGCTGATCAGCACATCCTTCTCATTCACACGAATATGCGGGGGTGGCGGGGGAGGGCCTGGAAAAAGAGATGGAAAAGGAACCAAGCAGGGTCATAAGGCTGCTTTCTCCTTCTGAACAGGTCAGCGGGGTGAAGGTCTGCGGTCACCCCAGCCTTTGTGCACTAGAGGGTGTGTGACTACAGCCCCCCACAAGGAAATTCTCCTCTTCTGCTGAACAGAAGCAGGCAGAGAAAACAATTAGCGGAGGCATATTAAACCTAATGAAAGAGGCGGCTCCTCGGCAGGATTTCCTTTGGTTGTGACACCAAATCGTTTAAAAGCCCCACTAGGTACAGACTAACTAGACCAGGCAAGGCGATGCATTTCAATTCCAACTCCTTCGGGCGCTTTAACGTTTACTTGTTTGCTAGTGGAGAACGTTACTCAGAGAAATGGCTCCATTTTCCTGGAGCCATTTTGTTCTTCTTCTCCAAGTCTGTGCACATGGGGACAGCGTGCAGTAGAATGGAAGGGATGGAAATGACCAAGAGAGGGGCACAGCCCTCTACCCTGGGTGACAGGAGGTCCCATGCAGACCTTTGGGGGTCACTTACGGTCTATCATGGTGATGGTGCTGTCTTCAACCACCTCACTGGTCACACCGGCTGACTGCACTTTGATGGACACTAAGTACCTCTTATGCGGCACTAGCATCATGATGTTGAGCAGGGATTTTTCTTTCTCCAGTTTCCTGGAGAACTCGATCTCTTGGGTATCCATCTTTCGGCACTCAACGTTATAACCATCGAAGTCGGAGTCAGGTGGTACCCAAGAACAGGCGATGGCCGTCGAGTTCTGGGGACGACAGTGCAGGTTTTGTATCTTGTCTGGCTCTGTAGGGGCAAAGGGGGAAAGACACGACTCAGGAGTGTGGGAGACTCACGTCCTCGAGCACCTTTCTCAGAGGTGTACACAAACAGTCCCCATAATTTACTGAATTGCTTTTGGGGGGAAAATATTTTTAAGGATCAAGAAAAATTTCTGACTGCTGGATTGCACTTTGAAAAAAATGTTTAAGTCAGGCCATGGTATCATACACTTTTAATCCCCGCAATCAGGAAGCTGAGGCAGGTGAATTCCGAGTTTGAGGCTAGCCTTGTCTACAGAGTGAGTTCCAGGACAGCCAGGGCTATGCAGAGGAACCCTGTATTGAAAAACAACAAAACAAACGAACTAATGAACGAACAAGCAGAAAAAGTTTAAAGTCAAAACGGTCAAAATGGGGCCAGTGAAACGGTTCAGCAGGTAAAGGTACTTGTCACAAAGTCTGATAGCCTATGTTCAATCCCTGGAATCTACATGTTCTAAGAAGACAACTGACTTCCACGAGTTGTCCTTTGACCTCCTCATTCATGTGTTCTGTGGCATGCACACGCATGCATACTCATGAGAGCACATGCAAAACGCAAAAGAAATAGCTAGAAATGTCGCTAGGGATGTCACTAGTTACATAGCTAGGTGATTTAACACTTGCCTGGCCTGAGTAAGGCCAAGGGTTCTCTCTTCCATACTGCAAACCCAAACAAAAACAATACAACAATTAAAACCCCAGGAAAAAGGGACGAAGCTGTCTCTTTAGAAAATCGTTGATATGGTTGGAGAAAAAAAAAAAGCCTGTGAGCACACTGAAACTGGTCGAACAGAAGGTGGGGCAGGGGAGTTTAGGGGTTAAAAGGGAAGCTCCCAGCCTGAATACGAAGTCTACTTATCAACGCTTTTGGACAAGTGACTTTTCCCCCTCTACTGCCTACCTGTCCATGAGGAAAATAAGAATCTCTACTTCATAGAGTTATTATAATGCTTTCATGATGGAAACACATACAGTCACCTAGCATACTGGCTGGCAGAGTCCTTACTCAATAAATGTGAGCTCTGTTAAAGAGGAGGCTGGGAAGCAACTGTAGGGAGTCACGATCTTCCATGTACTGACTTCCATCACCTTCCTCCAGTCTTGCCTACAGAAACCTAGAAGGACTCTATCAATCTATTTTCTACCGAACAGGAGATAGTATGCATGCTCATTCTCTGAATCCAAGTCCAGCCATCTCAAATGAGACTATGGATTCAGCCCAAGCCCCACTGGAGTAAGACGGTCCTCTCATCCCATCTGAAAGCCAAGAGAAGCAAAACAGGCCATACTTGTCCTCACAGATCCAGAAATTGGTTTGCTGTATGTTTTCCAGGGATCCCCACTGACCGTCTTGACACTGAATTGATAGGATCTCCCTGGGCGAAGCCCATACACAATGCGTCCTTCTGATTTCCTGTTGCTGTAGGGGTTGAAGACAGTGAGTGCATCTCTGGGGAGCCACTGCAGCTCAAAGTCATTGTAGTCTGTCCAGTCTGGGGGCCCCTTCCAGGTGATGGCCAAGGAAGTGTTTGTAACATCAGCAAATGACAAATGACTGGGGGGACTTGGGGCTACACATAAAATAAAATGAAAAAAAATCACATAATCAAATTCGTGACGTAGCATATAGATTCAGAGCATTGAGTGACATCAGATCTACTTTAGCGTATGAAGAGATAACATGCTAATAATAGATGGAGAAACTTTCTTTTATAGTAGCTACCTTGTATAAGGCACTATCTAGCATTGCATGTGTCTTTTCTTTAAATATTCATAACCATAGTTTCCTTACCAGGATGTCACAGAACGTGAATGTATCCCAAATGGGTTATGTGTGTGGGAAAGTATTCCATCAGATTTGAAAGCAAAGGGCTGGAATTCAGAGACAATTGTGTCCAATTTTAGATCATCTTATAGACTGATTATGTGGTGGTTTGCAAGGAAATGGCTCCCAAAGGGAGTGGCACTATTAGGAGGTGTGACTTTGTTGAAGTAGGTATGGCCTTGCTGGAGGAAGTATGTCACTGTGGGGGTGTGTTTTGAGGTCTCTTTTGCTCAAGCTTCCCTTGGTGTTGCACCGAGACCACTTCCTGTTGCCCGCAAGACGTACAACTCTTAGCTACTTCTCTAGCACCATGTCTGCCTGAATGCCACCATGTTACACCATGACGATAATGGACGGAACTTCTGAACTGTAAGCAAGATACCCCAATTAAATATATTTTTTATAAGTGTTGCCATGGTCATGATCTCTTTTCACAGCAATAGAAACCCTAACTGAGACAGACTCCAAGGTGCGGCACAGGTATTATCTGTGTATGCCCAAGGCACAGCAGCATGTAGGAGAGACTAGTCCATAGTGATCCAGCGGTGATCTCTATCATTACCCTTGTCTTTTATATATGAAAGCTGAGGCTGAGCTGCTCAGTGATCCTACCTTGCTTCATGCAGGTGAGTGACAGAACACATCCAAGGGCCTAGTACTTTTTACACAAAGCAGAGATGGATGGGTTTTATTTTTATCATTGTGTGTGTGTGTGTGTGTGTGTGTGTGTGTGTGTGTGCCCATTATGTACAGACATACATGTATGCCTGTGAGGGAGAAGGAGAGAGACAGAGAAAGAATGTATGTGTGTGTGTGCGAGAGAGAGAGAGAAAGAGAGAGAGAGAGAGAGAGCATGCTTACATCCCATAGTGCATGCGTGACGGTCAACACTGAGTGTTAGTCTTTGTACTCAGCTGAGGCAGGGTGTCTTTGTTGTCTGCCCCGTGTATGCCAGGGTATCTGGCTTGCAAGCTTCCCATATCCCCACCCCCACCTTGCCTTAGGAGGGCACTAGTATTACAGAGATGCTTCGATAAGCCCTATTGTACTTGGGTTCTTGGGTTTAAACTCACTCCTCTTGCTGGAGCAGCAAGTACTTGACCCCCCCACCCCCACCCCGAGCCATCTTATCATTAAAATCATAGTTGAAATACATCTCTAGAAGTCACTCCTCACTAGTACTCGACGGGGCTTCTTACCTGTCCTGCCCTCCCCTGTGACTTTATTGCTGAGGTCTCCACTATGGGTCACCACATACAGGGTGTATTTCCGTCCAGGCACGAGGCCTTGAAAGCGCCACTCTGTCAGGCCCTTGTCTTTCCAGTTCTCTTTCTTTGTGCCATTGGGATTGTAGAGAATCAGCTCGTAGAAGTCAAAGTCCCCAGAGGCTGGACTCCAGCTGAACCAAAGGCTATCTGTCATGTTCCGATTGGATGCTTTGAGATGGTTCACGGCAGCTGGGACTGAAAGGAGAAAAAAAAAAATCACCCTAAGAACGAGACCGTGGTGTGAAACCGTGCTGATGCGCAGGTGAGAATCTGGGCTGTGCCGGCTCCATGGTTCACTCGTGTGCACTGTGGACTCAGCTCTTGCTGATGGGTCAGCCTGCTCACAGCGAGGCTCATGCGGGGTAGCTATGGGTACAGTTAAAACGAATCAAAGTGTTGGCAATTCTTCATGTTGGCTACGTGCACCCCAATAAAGAGGTTCAAGGAAATATTGAGGACCTGATTAACATCAGGTAGCAATGTGCCAATTACCTTCCAAATGACCCAGAAAAATGGTGTCAGTTTCTCCTAGTCTGACCCACCTCTCTGGCACCTACTACCCATAACCACCCTCTATGTTTCTTTACTATTCCATTTGTCTTCAGGTTCTCAGTTCTGCCATTTTATTCCTTGTCAGAATCTGTATGGGCACAACCTCAGCTTAGGAAAAGAAGTGGTCAGAGTCTTTTCTACTAATAATAAGTTCCAATGCTACCTACTCCATAGATTTTTTTTTAATTCTTTGGATAAAGATGATTTGTTGGAGAGTTCCTTTTCCCCTGTAATGTGGAATTTTATTATGTAGCTCAAATGCTCACACCTACAATGCTCCCTCCGCAGCCTCCCGAGTGTTGGGGTTGAGTCAGGCACCACTATGCATATGTGCATCTTCTGTTATCTGTGTATTAATGTTTCAGGTCCGCCCCGACCAGGCATATTGATAACAATGCTAACATCTAGGCAACACTATTTGTGGTCTGAGCTGATCACAGCTCTTGGACAAAGAGAACATTTCCATTGAGTGTCCTTAGGGGACCACCTTCACACTTCTTCTCTCACCTTCAGATCTCAGCTGAAGTCTCTCTGTTTCAAGTAGTGTCCTGTACTACTAGGCCATGATCTGCACATGCTCATTGCATGGAATTTTTCAAGATCATCTCCCTTTAAAATCTGCTGTCTCCACCCTCTTCTCTCCTCTAACATGGAGGCTATTTAAGGCCAGAAGCCAATCTTTCTTGGTCCTCTTCTAGGGGTCGGCCACATGCCTAGCACCTCAAAGCCCTGAAGAAGAGGTTCAAACTAGAAAGACGTTGAAGTTGAATGAGATTTTTGTCTCCCCTTTTCCTTATCTTGTTCATTCTAACTAGGATTATGTTTCCAATACACTATGGTCAGTGTGCATGTTTGTGTGTGTGTGTGTGTGTGCATGCATGTGTGTGTGCGATGTGTAGTTGACCTTCTGTGACCTGCTCTACCTTCCATCTATTCCTTGCAGAGAGTTGCAGGGCATAGCTTGACCAGAATCAGGAGGGGCTACAACCCTCTTCTCAATGGTTTACTGGTAAGTAGAGGAAGTCGGTTCATTTTCCACAAACTCCATGCAACAAATAAACAGAGGCAAAGCAACAGAGGTCAGCAGACTCAATAGACACAACTTATGCCTAGTCTGAGTGAGGGGCAAAAGTTTCAAGGTCATATATTCATATAAAGTTCCACTCTGTACAGAATAGGGAAGGAAGAACAAATCAAGGCTGAGCCAGTGAATACCATGAGATACCATGACACCTCTCTCCCAAGCTATTACTGCTCAGGTCTTACCTGTTCTGCCAAATATGAAGGACTCATTGGACAGCTCCCCACTGTGAGTAACAATCACCAATTTGTACATTCGGCCTTGTAACAAGTTCTGGAAAGAGAAGCTCTGGACCAGCGGGTCAACCTGAGCTCTTTCCTGAAGAGTCTTGTCTGGGTTGTACAGAAAGATGTTGTACCAGCTGAGCTCACCCTCCGAGGCAGTCCAGCTGAAGGACAGGTGTCTAGTGGAGTTCTCTGTGATCTTCAGATTGGTGACAGCTGCTGGGACTGGAAGAGCCAAGAGACAAGAATGAGTTGGCATTTTGGCATGTCCCTGACTGTGTCCGGGATAAACGCCTTGGTGGACACATTCGACTCCAAACACATCAGCTCTGAGTTAAGATGCTGACTTCCAACAGATGAAACAGCAGCCTCCCTGCATGGGCTTCCCTGAGAGATCCTGTTGACAGCCCTTCCCAGCTGACATTTCTGTTTCTGATTTTGATAGGTTTGTGCTCCAGACAAACTCTGAGTTGGCTTACACAAACATTTACCCCATCTAAGAACTGCTAGAGGGAGTGAGGGGGCTGGACTTGCAGATCCAAAGCTGCAGGGTCTCCACGACATAGGACAACAGAATATTCGCTCTGTAACTTTATAGTGTATTTTAAAATCAGAGAGTATTATACCTTTAGCTTTGCTCTTTCCACTCAAGAATTTTTTTTAGCTAGTTTCCTGTTTTTTGTGCTTCTGTATTATTTTAGAATGTTTTTCTAGTTCTGTGAGACATACCATTGGTATTTTGATGAGCGCTGAACTGAAGCTGTAAGTCACGTTAGGTGGATGGATATTTCAGTCATATTCTTCCTTATAATCCACCAGCGTGGGAGGTCTTTTCAATTTTGTGTTCCTGTTTCCTTTTCTATTTCTCTTACCAGAGATTTGTAATTGCCATTGTAGAGGCCATTCACTCTCTCAGGCAAATTCTAAGTACTTTGTTTTCTTTGTAACTATTATGAATAGCATTCTGTTCTTTATTTCCTTCCTTGGAGTTTTGCTATGATACACTAAAACGTTTTGACTTTTGTTTTTGTATGCTGACTTAGCATCCTGCAATTTTACTGAATGGTTTATCAGTTCTGTCTTCTGTGGACTCTACAGGGCTTTGTTAATAGGTAAAACCATATTTCCATAAATAGTAACAATTTAACAACTTTCATCCTGCTTGTGTGGTTTTTCCTTTCCTTTCTTTCTCTTGCTAACTAGCTCTGAGTAAGACTTCTGGTACTATGCTATATAAGGTAGTGGGACCAGATATTTGCCTTGTTGTAGATCAGTGGCTCTTAAGCTGTGGGTCTTGACCCCTTTTGAGGGCTAAATGACCATTTCATAGGGGTCACCTAAGGCCATCAGCAAACACAGATGTTTACATTAAAATTCATAACAGTAGCAAACTTACAGTTATGAAGTAGCAACAAAAAATTATTGTATGGCTAGGGGGTCATCATAATATGAGGAACTTTACTCAAGTGTTGCGGCATTAGGAAACGTGAGAATCACGGTTCTAGATCTTAGAGCATAGTTCAGCTTTTCTCTCATTCAGTATGATGTTGGCCAAGTGTTCCTTATGTATGGCTTTTATTATGCTCCTAGATCCAATTTGCCCACCTTTTTTTTAAAATCATGAGCAGAGGTTGGACGACATTGGATGTTTTTTCTGTATTGTGGAGATCTTATACACAGATTTGCATGTATTGAACTATCCTAGCATCTGCAAGGCAAACCCTCTGATTGTGATAAACGGTCTTGTTTGGTCTTGTTGGGTGAAACGTGCTAGAACTCTGCTGAGAAGCTTTGTGTCTATGTTCATTAGAGATATTAGTCTACAATCTTCTTTTTGTGTTTTTGTTTTATCCTTATCTGAGTTTGGTATCAGCATAGTGCTGCCCTTGTAAAATGCTTCGGGAAGAATTCTCTCTGCTTCCGATTTTTGGGCCGGTTTGAGAAGAGTTGATTTTACTTCTTTCTGGCTAGTTGGAGGGGCTCCCAAGCGACTGACCACAGATGAGGAAGCAGCAGAGAACCACAGTCTCAGAAAACTTCAGCACTGGGTCCCCATGGAGCTGGCTGAGGGACAAGACAGTGGTAGGGAACCATGGTAACTGCTCTGTGGCGCCTGCTTGAAGTCCCAAAAGGAGAGTCCTCAAAAAGTTGGGGAGAGGGAGCAGAAGGGAAGAGATACAGGAACCTAGGAAGTGTTTTGTCATCACCTGACATCTTATTTTAATCCCAGCTTCTGACTTTTTGAGGACTATATAATAATACATTTGCACTGCTCCAAACAACCGAGTCTATAGCAGAGCCGGCTTTGGCCACGGTAAATTAATAGCGCAGTTTTTAATGATAAATCAGAATGGGAGTGTGGTGCACTGAGGTCACGGGCCCTGACTGACTGGTGTGGAAATGTGACGTCCGACTGGGTGCGACTGCAGCTTTACATCTTTTTCCAGCATCACCCGTCTCTCACTTTACAGCTTCTACACTATGGTAGACAAGGAGATAGCTGGTCCAAGACATGACACCTTGTTTATTACCTGTTCGGCCTTCAGCCTGGGCTTCCTTGCTAAAGAGGCCTCCGCTGACAGTTAGGATGTGCATCTTGTATTTCTTGCCTGGCGTTAGATCTTCAAATTTGTGCTGCTTAGCGGTAGCCGGCTCTGACGTGTTGCTCAGGAGAAATCCATTCTCACTGAGAAGCAGGATATCATATCTTTCTGCCACGCCGGGAGCTTTCTGCCAGCTTACCGTTAAGGAGTTACTGCTGTAGGCGTTGTCTGCAATGACTCCCTGGACAGGCGCAGGAACTGCAAAGAAACAAGAGAAGCTAGAAAACTCAGGCTCCACCATTTAGGGTAAAATATTCAATCGAGGAAAAATTTGTAAAACCAAAGTACACAAAACTACCCTATCATTCCTTAAAAATAATTTGGGAAAAAATATTGAATTTTGAAAAGTGCATAGTTCTGAAGACTTCTGTCTGTAAATAAAATCTGAAATAAATTTTTAACAGGTGTACATTTCCCCCAACCACATTTAATTAAAAAACACTCTAATAAAGCTAAAAAATTTAAAGATGAGATATACTCATAAAACTGTCAGAAAATGTGCACACTTAGTTTTAAATTAGATTTTCACCAGTTTGCTAAGACTATCCATTCACTGGTCCACTGCCGAGAACCAGAGAGCCCTCTCCCATCGGGGCCTTCACCAGCTAGAGCTCACCCGTCTGCCCATGCGCGTCAATCTGGTTGCTCAGGGACCCACTAACAGAAGCGATGGCGATTCTGTACATGGCCCCGGGCTCCAGCTTGTGGAAAGTGTGTTCTGAGACGTGCTTCGGGATGCTCTGAGACTGAATCTTCTCATTCTGCCTGAACGCTGACACCACATAGGAGTCAACATCCCCACCACCTGGCGTCCAGGTTACCATCAATCGATCCGTGGCTCCGTTGGCAGAAACGTGAATATTTTTGACAGTACTGGGAACTGAGAAACAAAATAAATTTAAAAACCATCGCTTAAAAAAAATAAATGAATTGTGGGGATATTCAACTAAAGTTTCCAAGCTGGGCTGGGGATGTGGCTCACGGCTCCTGTACTTGCCTATTGTGCGAGGCCTTGAGCTCTACCCCTAGCGCCTCCTCAGGCCAGGATTTTTAAATCACTTATCATTTACTGCAAGAATGCATGTGGAGAAATAAACACAAATTTCCTTTTCTCCCCCCTTCTCCCGACTCTTCTGCCAGAACAGAAGTTAAGGGGAGAAAGTTCAGACAGAGATCAGGCCAATGAAGAGAAATAAAAACACTAGCCATATATTGAGGGGTAGTTGATTGTCTCTATCCAAGACTTGGTTTTCTTCTTTATTAGCTATGTGATAACAGGCAAATTATTTAACCTCTGTAAATTTCTTCATAAGAAAAATCTATCAATGGTGATAATAGTGACGAGTCGTTGGCTTATGAAGTCTGGAAAGAACATATTTTGCTGTGGTACTGACCCCCAATAAGCTGTCAACTTATATTATTAAATAAGTGTGGTAGTGCCTAAAAGAATTCCAAAGAACTGACACCCCCGCAGGAGAGCTATTTATTAAATATATAATATAATCTGTGCATTTAGGAACACCGAGCTAGGCACAGCCTTTCAGTGTTTATTTCTCTAAAAGGGTCTTTGTCACCTCCACACCATAATGCACTTTTGTTAATCCTGCCTTGACAATGTCATTGTCACTATCAGGACAACTTCATGCTTCTTATAATCTCTCATGTCTCCAAGACTTAATCTAAATACCTGCATTATCTTACCAACCCCTTACATACACCACTGTGCCCACTCAGGCTGAAGAACAGTACTTCCAATTACCCGTGAGGCCCTCAATGAAGGCCGACTGCTGAACGTCGCCACTGATGGTCAGGACAAGGATTTTGTAATGGCGCCCTGGTGTGAGCACAGAGAACTGATACTCAGTTGCAGTGTTCACAAGGTGAATAGGAGGAAAGACCTTCATGTCATTGAAGAGCAGCTGGACCTCATACTGGTCAACGTCCCCATCGGCCAGTGACCAGGTCACATAGAGGTCCTCCGTGCTCCTGTTGCGAAGTGTGAGATTCTTCACAGGCTCTGGGACTGGGGAGAAAAAAATGGGAAGATATTTCAGGAACGTGGATGATCAAGTTTACCTACACAAACTATGACTCACACTCAAGGAACTGCCAAACATCTCTCACCCCCTGAAAAACCTTGAGTTACTTCATGAATAATTAAACAAGAAAAATTGAAAGCAACTACTTAGGTTGTGATTTTTCCCCCTAACATAAATCTCATATGCTACATGTTGGTAGAATATACTTATAAAATGAGTTATGATCTCAATCAGAAGATAAAACAAGATGTCTATAATTTTATGCCTTAATGCAAGAAGACAGGAAAGAAAAATGAGACACGTTTTTCTCCCTCCCTCACTGTGCATGCTTTTGATCTACCAATATTCTGTAACAGCAGGCCATTGCCTGACTGAGTGATGTAATGGTAGGCCATTGGTTGACTGAGTGATGTAATGGTAGGCCATTGCCTGGTTGAGTGATGTAATGGTAGGCCATTGCCTGGCTGAGTGGTGTAACGGTAGGCCATTGATTGGCTGAGTGATGTAATGGTAGGCCATTGCCTGGCTGAGTGATGTAACAGTAGGCCATTGATTGTCTGAGTGATGTAATGGTAGGCCATTGCCTGGCTGAGTGGTATAACAGTAGGCCATTGATTGTCTGAGTGATGTAATGGTAGGTCATTGGTTGGCTGAGTGATGGAACAGTAGGTCATTGATTGGATGAGTGATGTAATGGTAGGCCATTGGTTGACTGAGTGATGTAATGGTAGACCGATGCCTGGCTGAATGATGTAATGATAGTTCATTGCTTGGCTGAGTAATGTGAGCCCAAGGTGAGAGCTATCAGGACTATAGCTGAGTGGCCAGGAAGTAGAGAGAACTCAGGGTTTCTATGAACTTAATCAGTGACCTCCTAGTCTGGTCACCCACACTTCTGATAACCTCCTTCACTTACTCGTTCTTCCATTCCCTTGTTCACTAGCTTCATACTGTCCACTTTTGGTACTGACGGTGACACTGTACAGGCGTCCAGGGATGAGTTGAACAAATACACACTCGTTTTCCGACTTGGGAATGCTTTTGGTTTGAGTGAAGCTGTTTTTGTTTTTGATGGTGACTTCATAGTGATCGAAGTCTCCAGTGGCATGTACCCAGGACACCTTTAAGTAGTCACTCCTGGCAGAGTTGCTAACGCTGATTCCCTGGACCTTGTCAGGTACTGGAAAAGAGAGCAACGGAAGCTTTAGTGGTTCTGGAAGAGCAGCTGTTCACAGACAACAACCTGAGACAATAAAACAAAAAAGCCAGTTTTTATCCTGTGCATTGAAAAGAAAAATCTCAGACCTATACATCACAAAGGGGAAATATAGTTGTGTTACTTAAAGTGACCTTTTGGCAAAACCTGATGAATGCATTCTAATCTAATAAATGGCAAGCAGAATGTCTCTTGTAAGATAGAACATTAAAATGGTAACTAGTGCCTAATATGAAGGATAGAGCACATATTAATGACCACAGCATATATTGATGACTCACGTTTACAAGAAAAGTATAAAAAAAACTCAAAAAAGAAATAGAAAAAGAGGAACACATATGAGTACATATATAAAGACATGTTCTGAGTCACTAGTGATGAAAGAAAGTCAAACCCAGACCCCAATTACTATTCCTTTAGCAAACCAGAAAACCTGACCCAGTCAGCTATGGGAGAAGATGTCATTCACGTCCTTCCACACAATGAACTGTTGTGTGTACACAGTGAACTTTCACACAGTTCTCATTATTAAACAACATAATGATAACTTCGGAATTTCAAGTCCCTGAAAGATGACATGCTTCTTACATACATCAAAAGCCTTCTTATGTCAAAACAACTAAGAAACGAAAGACTTATTAAGCTAGGACCATACATAAGTAAAGCTATGCATGGAAGAGGTGAGCACGATGAATTAGAACATTGGCTATTGTGGGATGGATTAGTCAGGCCTGAACCATGTGATTGGACACAGATTACTGTCAAAATCCTAGCTAGCTTTTATTTTGGGCAGCAGTTTCTCATGTCATTTTAAATTCATAAAAATCACTAGTTAGATGCCTAGAAAAATCAAAGTGTCAACTGATGTACGCTTTTTTTTTGAAGCAAGAATCATGACTAATGCTATTTTGCAAACCTGAGCCTCTTTCCAATAGATATATAAACAAATGATTCCATGGGCCCACATTTTTCTTCCTCATGAATAGGAAATTGCGTTTTCCTGGGAACACTGCAAAATGAAGCAATTCTGATATTAAAGGATGGTCTGGCTTTCAGTTTAGGAATGAATTTTAATTCAAAAATAAATAATAAGTTTTCTCTCTCTTGCCTGTGTGTGTGGTGTATCTACATGGTGTATGTGCATGTATGTGTGTGTGTGTGTGTACGTGCATGCGTGCACATATGTGTGTGTGCTCAAATGAAGAGGCCAGACATTGACATCTTCCTTGATTGTTCACCATATTATTTTTTGAGAGAGGGTTACTCACTGGACCTAGAATTCGTCAGTCTAACTGGGTAGGCCAACCAAATGGCTCCTATCTGCCTATCTCTGTCTTCTTAGGCCAGGTCCAAAGTTCTACTGTCACAGATGTGTGGCACCATGGTTAGGAGGTCCTTCTGTTTGTGTGTTGCTTTCATTGGTTAACAAATAAAGAAACTGCCTTGGCCTAGTTGATAGGGCAGAACTTAGGTAGGCGGGGAAGACAAAACTGGATTCTGGGAGGAAAAAAGCAGAGTCAAGGAGAGAGCTGCCATGAAGCTGCCAGAGGCAGACATGCCAAATCTTTTCTGGTAAGCCACTGCCACGTGCTGATACACAGATTAATAGAAATGTGTTAAACTGATATGTAAGACTTAGCCAATAAGAAGCTAGAGCTAATGGGCCAAGCAGTGTTTTAATTAATACAGTTTCTGTGTGGTTATTTCGGGGCTAAGTTAATTGGGTGGCGGGTAAGAACAAGCAACCTTCCTTGCCACAGCACCATGCTGGACTTTAATGTGGGTGCTGGAGACCCAAACTCAGGTCCCCATGCTTGCATGGCAGTGGTTTTGCTGACTGAACCATCTCTTAGCTCTGTTTCTGTTTCTATTTGACTAGAACCAGGCCTGGGTATTCACAGGAAAGGGCCTGGACAAGGGGCCCATGCTTGATCTGGAGCACCAAGCCTCCTTTCCAATTAGCTGTCTTTTTTAGCTCCTTTCAACACCTCTAGGACTGTGGGAGTTTGGTTTACGTCACAGGAAGTCGACTCTGGCATATGCCAAACCTATGTCCTTTTCTTTCACTTTCTCCCAAACCACACAAGAGCCAGAAATTCCATCATCTTGGCACTTTATACTCTATTTCTTCATGATGCTTTCATACGGGTTGTATTAATATCTTCTGTTGGATTATATTTACTGATCAATTTTATTTTAGAACCTAGCACACCAAAGGACTGGAACAAAGATGGGGCTTCACCTGAAACCAATTACAGCTCTGTTAGCATTCAGCCACTGCAGAGATGAGATAGTCTGAAATGACACTGTATGCACAGACTAAGGACAGCCGGTGATCTTGGCAATTTACTGAAGGCAAAGCAATTACTACAGGAAGAAGAAGTAGCTGAGCGTGGTGCTAAGTCAATAAAGGGCTCTCCAGGTGGAACTGGAAGCCATTGGTGCCCAGCGAGAGGACATGACATGGGATTAGAAACATTGCTCTGTTTGCTCAAACGGAGAAGAGCTTTGGGAAAGTTAAAGAGTATTAAGACAGCCAGCCCAAATCAGTCTGACAGCAACCCGGACACGAGTCTCCTGTTAGTCACTGACCTCTGTCAGTTATGCACCAGATCCAAGTTCACGTGGAGTAAAGAAGCTGCGCTGAGGAGAAAATAGCGTATTTCTCACATTTGGGGAGATCTTAGCAGGGGCCTTGCAACGCTAGAGTTATTTGCAGAGAGAATGCCGGTGAGGTGGGTGAACCGGAAGTCACAGATTGGTAGTTAGGCTACAATAGCCTTCATTCCCAGTCAGTTTTAGGCCCTGAGTTGATCAATTATGTTGCTCTGATGTAAGATTACTCCAGGAGTGATCATTGATTTTTCAGGTTTAAGTCACAGCTGTAATTATCAGTATAATTATACTTTAGACTATTTGACAGTAGAGAAAAATCTCTGTTCCTGATTAGTGTTTCCAAATTTGGTCGGATGTAATGGCTGAACTTCGCCAGAGTTCAGACACGTCACCTTGGAAAAGCTACACTTTATTTTTGGGATTTTCATGATCTCCAGATGAGAAGGCAGAAGGACCACTTCAGTGCTAGCATTCTGTAACAAGGCGAACACGTGGCTCTTAATTGGGGACAGGGGGCCCAAGGCCTGTGAACTAAAAAGCCAGGTACTTCCTCCTTAAAGGCCCTGGAGCTTCAATGACAGCTAAGAGGTCAAGAGTGCTTAGAGTTCTCACAGGCGACCTGAGCTTGGCTCCCAGTACCCCAAACTCAGCAGCTCAGAACCACCCCAAACTCCAGCTCTAGGGGATTGGGACACCCTCTTCTAGACTTCAGTGAGCACCAGTGCTCACATGCATATAGTCACGCAAAGACACACATAATTAGAAGACACTGAAAAGAAGCATAAAAAGAGATTGCCGACCCATTCTTACTCCTCATGACTTCCTGGGTTGCCGTGGAAACCCTTGATTCTGATTAGTCCTCTAGTAGGAAGGTAGTGAGTTTCTACTCAGCCCCAGCATCTAGGTTCACTAACAGGGTGGTGTCACTGTCTTCGATGGTCATCGGAAAAGAAGTTTCAGAGTCCCGTGGAAAAGATTGGACAAAATATTGATGTCAACCTTAAGCAGAAATTTCAGATGTAAACCCCAGAGCGTATGAATGCGTCGGGGAAAATGGTGGCTGTCTGTATTTCGTTCCTTCCAGCATGTCAATGACCTGGCATTTATCTGCTAAGAATTTTGCTCCCTGGTCTAGGAACTATAAAGGGTACCATTTTTACCTTGTGTGCAGAGGAGGCACAGTAGGCTTGGCCGTCATGTAGTTCAGATAAGACTATGGAGTCAAGACCTTGGTAGGCTCTGGGGTGAATCAGACCTAAGTTTAAGCCCAAGATCTAAAACTTCCTGGCAACTCCACAACAATAACAGTTGGGCAAGTAAATTGTTTAACCTTGATGCTTGGTTTCCTCATCTGTGAAATGGGAATAATAATGACTATCTCAGAAAGGACTGTGTAAGGATTAATTAGTTAGTATATATGAACCCATGTTCTAGTAAGCAAAGAACATTCCCTAAACATAAATAATTGTTGTTCTGTTTAAATATAATATAAATTCTAGTTATGAAAGCTAGGACAGTGTTCCTGAAAATGTGACATGTGCTCACATATATATTTTCCAGCTAAAATAGGAAGACTACAGAGCAATTTTGTGATGTTAGCTGTTTTTATCCAGGACCACTGCAGGTCCGAGATGCTCAGAGTCACACAGCTGACCTGCTTCTGGGAGCCCTGTGTCCTGGTAATCCTTACCTGTCCGTTCTTCGCTGAAGGAGTGGCTGGCGTAACCGCCACTCCTGGTGGTGATGGTCACATTGTAGAGGCGGCCTGGGGTGAGGGAGCTGAAAGAACACTCGCTGACAGACTTGGCAATGGTGAGGGACTGAACCACCTTGCCGTCGTGGGAGAGGGTTACCACGTAGTTATCCACGTCTCCAGGAGCTGGCAGCCAGGAAACACTGAGGTAATCATTACGGCCGGAATTGTTGACCGTGACTCCACTCACGCTGGAAGGGACTGTGAGTTCGCACAAGGAGGAAGAATCGTCAACAAAAACAGAATTGCAAGTTTGAATTAACTATTGTGCTCAATAAAAACTGTGGACTGGGATATCGGAGTTGGTCACACATGAAGTTGAGGAGGTATTAGGATTTCTAGTGACTTTGGGAAGACAAACTATCTTTCACCAAAAGGCTAAAGAAAAACAAAACATCACTAGGAGGCCATTTGGATGCCTCATAACCCAAGTGTGCCACCTCTGTGACTTTATGGGGTTTCTGTGTAGGGAGTGGTTTAGGGGGTATTTTATGGGACTTTGCCGGGAGGGTTTTGGTAGAAAAGGGAACACAGACTTTAAAAGTCCAAATGAATCATGTTGAATCTAACTCATCAAAAACAAAAGAAAACAAAACAACAACAACAACAAAAAACCAAAATAAAAACCACCACCAACAAAAACCTAAAACCACCCAACCAAGCAAACAAAAAAACAAAAAACAAAACAAAGATACTTGAGAGTAAAGGAAAAAAATTCCACGGATTTTCTGAAGAACTTAGACTCTGGGTCGCCTTTGACTTTCATGTGACCAGGTTTTTGTTTTGTTTTATTTTTTATTCCTGGGACGTTTAATAGAAAACACATCTGAAGATGTCCCTTATTCCTTTGCAAAGCGTTTTCTGCCCTCTAGTGGCCGAAATCCTCAAAGCACATCCTAGAAGCCTGGCTGGCGGTCTGGAGACTGGGCAGAGAAAACCATGGCCAGGACTGGGAAAGCCTCCTTGAAGTCAGCCATAATTATCATTCGTTTGTATCAGTTAGAGATCGATGCCACAAACATTTACCGAGAGACTTGTATTTCCCAAGTGTATAAACATGGAACAGACACAGATGCTTTAAGTTACAAGTTCAAACTGAGAAATTAGTAGGTGCGGTAGGAAGAAGTTCATTAGGTATTGGAGGTGAGTATCTAGTACACAGTACTGCCTTTGGTGATGGCAGATGGAACTCTAGTTCACAGACTGTACTGCTGTTCTCATCATGGGCTATTTAACTCTCAGTTAATTTTCACGTAATTGTCAGGGCTGCTGCACGGCACACAAAGGATGGGGTTCGGCTCAGTGAAACCTGAGAGTCCTTATGAATTAAGCCCAAAGTCCATCTTACACACGACTGATGAGCTGTGCATATGTTATCAGAAAAGATAGAGTTATCAGGAGTTTTTCCAAAAGTGTAACTCACTTAAGATATACAAGTTATTGGGTATTTCTCTAGAATTTCCTCAGCTTGGGATTAGATTGATCAAATATCTGAAACTTCAAACTTCAGTTCCTACCATTTTCGTGCACCCGCTTCAGCTCTGCGTGAGCTTGCGTGAGCTAGAAGACTTTCCAAAATTATTTGTACGTTGAGAAATATATGAGATATTTGAAGAAACGCTAATGATGATCATTGTGGTTTTAGCCACTGAATTATTTTGCTCTGTAAAACCTGTACTACTTTAGAGAGTCTCTGAAATCCTTAGTCACTAGGTATATACAATAGTGGTGCCTTTTTCCTCTCTTAGGACAACGGTTGGATAACACACATATTTATTCAGAACTTTTGTTCTCAAAATTTTATATTTATCCTTCATAGACTTTCTCATCAACTTAGTGAATGCTTCTTTTGTATAACATGAACCAAATACTGATATTTCTGATTATGCTAAAAATACAGGAATAAAAATGATTTATAAAATAAAGTCCCATTTATTCCAAATATTCACTGATTTCAAGTGATATCAGAGACTATACTACTTTTGTGCTTAATAGCGGGTTGGATAGCCTTTGTGGTATGTCTATTAGTATTGCGGTGATTTTTTTCTTTCGGTGGTACTTGTATTGAATTCAAGGTTTTGTGTCTGTGAAGCAAGTGTTTTATCCCTGAGATACATCCCCAGTCGTTTGTGGTGTTTAAACTAGAAATGAACCTGGGACTGAGTATGACTGGCTCACCAACTGACCCCCTTTCCTCTTAAAGCTCAAAGCTCATCTGGACCATATTTCTCAGCTTCCCCTGCAGTCAGATGACACTAACTACAGCCATGCAACAGCTCGGTCCAGCGCAATGAGGCTAGAAAAGTTACCTCTGCTTCCAGGCCTACTAATCTCTCCCAGACCGTGTCCGATTTCTACCTCAAGTCTCCGCAGGAGTGGAAAGAGTTGCGGGAATCCAGAGGAAGGAAACTGTCGGGTGATAGGAGCCTGGATCTTGATTTGTACTTGGAGAAGAATCAGTCAGTAGAGTTGTCAGATCAGGAGCGACCACATTGCCCAGTCGTGTGACAGGACACAGGTCCCTCTAACCTGACCGATAGGGGCTGCAGCTCACAGGAAGATGGACACACGAGCCTTCTCAGATGTTCAGCCCTCCACCCTGACCATACTATACTGAATCATGGTGCCAGTGACTCTTACAAGTGAAGGGAGAGGGTATTGGGTCTCAGGAAAGACCCTGGTATCTTTCTTACATCTAGTGCCACAGAAAGAGAGAACTGGCAAGGGTCAGTAAATTTCTACTAAGACCAGGAGACATGGGTTCAGTTTCGTAGCTGCTTCTCTGCATGTTATTGGAAGTGGTTCACTAAGACAGCGAAGTAGGAGACACTGGTGGTTTTGGCAAGAGATTTTTACATGACATCACAACTCTTAATTGCTATCTGAGCATTGGGTTTATAGATAAAGATGCCTGAATCCAACGTATAATAATCATGGGAAATTAAAAGATCAAGGTTATTGACCTGATTCTGAGTTTAATCATAGTTATCAAAGCTTCAATTGGGTTTGTATATTTTTCCCTATGAAACTGGAACATAAATTTCATATATTATATGAAATAATATGATATTACTTTAATGGGCTCTCAATGTATTAGAAAAATTCCACTTTTTTGGTGCTGACACAGTAGCCATACTGATACTTATCTTCTCAGCTCGCAATTTCAACTGACAAGAACAATGAAGCCTGGGGCACCATTTAGGTGGCATTCAGCACTAAGCATTCGATGACGTTGCTTACAAAACATATATGTGACTTCTACAGGAGTACAACGATATAGTCCTGTTGTCCCTGCTATTGGAGAAGCTGAGGCAGGAGGCTGGTAAGAGCCAGAAAGTTCAGAGTCAGCCTGGGCACCATAGCAAGACTCTGTATAAGCTACTTGAGAATTACATTTCATTTTAGGATGTTTAAAACGGAAGGCGACTCCACGTTCTGACGTATCTGGAAGCTGCAGACACAAATCGGCACTTCTTACCTGTTCGGCCTTCCGCCACCACCTGCCGGGAAGAAATCCCTCCGCTCACTGTGGTCACCACCACCGAGTAGAGGCTGCCGGATTTCAGAGCGTGGAAGCTGTATCTCCTGGTCTCACTGGAGACGCTCTCGTTTTTAATGACCACATTCTCATGGATCAGTAAGACTTGGTAGAACTCTACATCTCCTAAGGCCTTTGTCCAGTTAGTGAACAGACTGCTGGTCATTCCTTGGTTGGTAACGTGCAAGTCAGTCACGTGGGCAGGCACTAAAAGGCAGTAGATAGAAGATGAAAACCCATTATGCTTAGTCACCCCAAGGTAAGAATGAGGAGTCAGAGAGTCAAAGTGGAGACAGACTAAAGGGCTGCAGGTATAAAACATGTTTTGTTTGTTTTTGCCATGAGTGCTTCAGTCTGTTTCTTGTGGCATATGGACACTTATTCCTCTACAGGGTTCAATCACTTTAACCAGCTGTTTATACAACAGTGTTCCATTAATCAAAGTCAGTTAAGTTTAATAATGAGACTATGATGCTTATCAGTAGGCTTTGACATTTATGTAACAGAAATGTTGCTTGAAAGAACCTTCTGATTGAATATGATTTTATCCATCCTTATTCTCCAAGAACACAAAACCAGGTAATCTACCAGAGCCAATGTCTGTTACAGAGTGGCAAGGGGAAATTCCTTCAAGATGGTGGTTAGGTTACAGCCTGGCAAGTTAGTCACTTTCTTGTAAGTCTATCCTCCAAAGGGCTATCGGTATTGTTCATGAAAATGCTATATAATATCTAAAATGACAGCAGTGACTATTATAGTAAATAGTGAATGCCTACTACCTTTCAGTTAGAGCAGAAGACATTTTAGAGGGTATATTATCTAATATGCACAAACATCTATAAAGTTGATTTTATATTTCTTTTACTAAGAAGGAAATCAAAGCACATAGAATAGGAGCTTTTTCTATCTTACACCACAGCTTGATAAATAATCAACCAGGTATCCAAGCTAGAGCTCTCTCACCCTAAGCCTGTGACCTTGCTCTGCATCATCAACTACTGTCGCTTCCAAGCCATCCACTAGCTGATGCTCACAGACCCTGAAATTAACACTTGCTTCTCTTTTGCACCATTCTTAAATTATAACAACCAGAGCTTTAGTAGACCCCTTTGCCAAAGTTCAATAACGTTTGTATTAAGATGCAAATATATTGACCAAAGTGTTACCATACATAGGCCAGTAGAACCTTCTGGTTTTAAAATTTATATGGGAAGTTAAGGAACTATAATTCTCAAAACAGTTAACAACAAAAGGAAACAAAACCCCCAAACCCTCACTAATCACAAAAACACAGCTTAAGGACAAATGTCAGCCAATTTTACTAGAAAGTTATAAAAATCAGGACAGTGTAAATAAAACTGGCAAAAGACAGACAGACATATAAGGGAATGGGAAAAATGAAAAGTTCCAGAAAATGTATACATGCAAATATAGTCTCTCTCTCTTTATATACATATGTATATATATGTATATGTATACACACATATACACACACATATATAGTTTTTAGCTGTTTGATAATTATAGTTCTTGTACTTCCCATATTTATGTATGTATATACATACATATACTATATATAGAAATATATGTTCAATGCATATGTACATGTGTGTATGTGTATCTATGTTACACACATGTGCACAAATATTTACTCATACACATACATATATGCAATATACATATGAGCATGCACATGTACACATATGCATATGTGTGTACATATATCTATGCATATAAAACATATATGTTTATATATGTTTGTACATACATATAAAGACTATATATATAGTCAATTTCTAGAAAGAATCATAGGACAATTTTGTGAAGAAGGGTAGCATTTTCAACAAATATCTCTGGAATTATTAGATGTACATATGAAAAGGGAAATTTCATATTTAACATTTATATATTAACTTAATAATATTTAATAGCAATAGAGGTCAATTAAAATTTAATACAAGAATGGTTTGTAGGCCTGTGGTGTAAGTCTAAACCTATAAGTATTCCAGGGAAGATCTCTGTGGCCCTTTGTTAGACCGAATTTTCAAGTGTGCCACCAAGAGCACAGGCAATGAATGGCCTTAACAGTCAGACTTCAAATCAAGCACGGCTACTCACCAAAACACACTAAATTCAACAATAAGAAAATGAGCCACCACCAGAAGAAAACATGTGCAATACACATTTCTAACTTGTGTATAAGAATAAGAAGTCTCAAAACTTTTGTTTGTTGGGCTGGTGGGGTGGCTCAGCAGGGTAAGCCACTGGTTTCCATGCCCGACCACTTGTGTTCCATTCCTGGCGCTCGCGTTAGAAGGAGAGGCACTGACTCCCAAAAGTTTTCTTCCGATCCCCTCACAGGTGCTATAGTATGTGCAGGCCCACAGACTCACCGAGAAAAACAAACAAACGTAATTTTAAAATACAGATGAAAGGCGACATCCTGACCTTAACCTCTGGATGCCACAGTCACTCTGGTGTGTGAGTGCGCCTGCTTACACATGAGCTCACACATGTGTACACCACACACATACTTACAAATCTGTTTGTTAAGAAAACCATGGTATTGAACAATTAGCAAAATATCTGACATAACATTTTCCAAAGGAGATAAAAGATAGTGAAAAGGCACAGGGAAGGGTTCTCAAGTCAGTGAACATGAGATCCCACTAACACACCTGTAGTAAGTAAAAGGAGCAGCGGGCCGCTTTCCGCCCAGCTCCTGGCCACCTGAAATAACAACACACAAATTGTATTCATTTAAACACTGCCAGGCCCATTAGCTCTAGCCTCTTATTGGCTAACTCTTACGTATTCGTTTAACCCATCTCCATTAATGTGTATTGCCACTTGACTGTGGATTACCGGGCATGAGTCTAACCAGTGTCTGTCTCGGAGAGGAGAGCCATGGCGTCTGCCTGACTCTGCTTTCTTTCTCCCAGCATTCTGTTTGGTCTACTCCACCTATCTAAATTCTGACCTATCAAAAAGTCAAGGCAGTTTCTTTATTTGACCAATGAAAGCAACACATAGAAAGAAGATCCTCCTACACCACACCTACTAGAAAGGCTTAATTTTAAGATGAACAAAGAGACACATAGACAGATAATACCAAGTGCTGCCTGGAGTACTCACACATTGTTTATAGAAATGTAAATTTTTATAATCTAGTTGGGCACGGTGGCAAAGGCCTACAGTCCCAGCTAACTAATGGGGAGGCTGAATCAAAAGCATATCTTGAGTCCAGGAGTTTGAGACTATCTTGGGCACCATAGTGAGACCCTATCTGAAAATGTAAGAAAAGAAACATTTCATTTGCTGTAGAAGAGAGACCAACACTTCCTTGAAAAGTTAAACAAATACTATATTACACTTACTATATTGCCCAACAATATGAGTGATTGGGGTGATAAAAATATTAGGGGACAAAACAACGCCTTGGGCTTTCATTTCCAGTTGTATGCTACACTAATACCATGAAGAATCACTCCAATAAGTGTATCCCACCTATTGGATGAAAAATAAAAACAGATGGAAGAATACATTGTCAGGAGCGCAAGGCGTTCTCAAGGCTGGTAAGTAAGTGGTCACTGAAGTACTGAAGCGAGTTGTTGCCTTCAGCATATGTTTCAGACATGAATTCACACTTTGCTTTTACAGCGCTGTAAACTCCTGCAGATGGGAGGTAAAGTGGAGGACTCTTGGGCTTAGTAGGCTGATGGCTGAGCCTACGTAGAACTGTATCCTGAAAGTCTATTCCTTCTCTGTTTCCCATACCAAGGCAGCCTTCTTAGCATCGGCAGGAGACAACCATTTTCTTCTGATTTTTTTTTGTAGGCTTTATAATTTCATATGTGCTGGGAAACGTCTCTGCCATGGTTCTAACACCCAAGCCTTCTCGAAAATTCCTAACCTTGAGGTACTTTCTGTGTGCATGTAGCTTGTTACGATTTCAGCCACAATAGGGCTGACACTTCCAGGTTCTAGGGCCATGCATGTGAGGATAAGCCCTCAGGCAGAAGTGCCTAATGGCCCTAGGGATGTTAAAGGGCCCTGTGTGACCCATGTGCAGTGTGGTTACATCATCCACGTATGACTCAGCTAAGCCCTTGTGTGCATGCATGGTTGCATCATAGCTAAGTCCTTGCATGCATGTGTGGTTGCATCATTCACATATGACTCAGCTAAGCCCTTGCATGCATGAGTGAGCCCTGTCTTGTGTGTATGATGTAATCATGTCAACCCCTGTGCACATGTGTTAGGGAGCTTTTAAAAGCTGGACTCACCGCCACCCCCTGCACACTGACTTCCCCAGGCCTGTACATGCCCCCTCTACAAACTCCAAAGCGGGTTTGTTGGGTGTTCTGTGTTCCCTTCTCACTCGCGCCAGGTAATTTCACAGCTGGAATTCCCAAATGTACGTGTTCAAAATCCTCAGATGAACTAATTATGTTAAACTAGCTCTGAATTGACAGCAGTCCTGGGCTTGGGGAAGAATCAGATGAAAGTTCTTTCTGAAATGCATCTTCAAACAAAGCCTTAGAGAATACTCATAGACTAAGATTCCAAGGAATATAAGCTTATAGAAAAAAAAAGAGAAACATTTAAAGAAATAAAGCAGCATGAGCAAATAGCAGCAAAAATCAACAAACCATAGCCCTTGACTGCTGAAGTTCATTTTTCAGTATAACGACTGACAGAATGCAAAGCTAACATTTTTATTTACATATGGTTATATGTAAATATAACTTTATTCAAATTTACATATAGTTATAAAAGAGTACAGCTAAAACATATCTAAAGGGCTTGTCAGATAGCTCAGTCATAAAACTCTGGTTCAGGGTATGTGTGTGTTTGAGAGAGAGAGAGAGAGAGAGAGAGAGAGAGAGAGAGAGAGAGAGATTGTGTGACTGCGTGTGTGTGAGTGTCATATATATTTAACTAGAGGGCAAAATAACATATATAGAGAGGAGAAAACCAAAGACAATATGTAAAAGTCAAAAGTAGAATTTAATAGATGAGAGAGAGCTGGAAAAAGAATTCATGAGCTGTAACGAACAGCTGAAGCAATCATGCAGACTGCAGACCAGGAAGTGAATACATCAACCGCAAAGTTTGCTTGTTACAAGTGGGGAATGGGAAGGAGGCAAGAGACAGTGCTGGAGAGTGAATCGTGGAAAATTTCCAGGACTGAGGAAAGAACAGACGTCCCAACCAATCTCAGGTAATGGAGCGAAAGGATTTCTGTACCTGGATCGTTCCTCTGGAACAACAGGATGACCCAGGTAAAAGGGGGGTGGTGGTTTAGAACGGACATATTCAACGGACTTCTCATGGGAAAGGAAGGATTAGACTGGAAGTCTGCTTCTTAACAGACAATAAGTACCAGAGAAACTAGAAAAATTCTTTCAGTGTCCTGATAGAAAATACCTTTCAAGACAGAGTCATAGGAAATCTGCTTGGCAAGACTGAGATCTACGTAAAGACACACCCAGAAAAGAAAAAAAAAAAGTAAAAGCAGAGAGAGTTTATCCCTGGGACTTTTCACTTAAGGAATTTAAAGAATGTCCTTCAGAACAAAGGACAAACCCTCTTGCTTGGAGCTTCTGAAACACAGGAAAGAAAGACAAACAGGTGGTTAAGTTGAAAGAAAAGCTGCACAGAGCATGACTTCACAAAGCCATGTTTTTGGGAGGTACACGTTACAAAGAGAAATACAGGGGATGGAGGGGGCTCCGCAGTTAAGAACACTTGCTCTTGGAGAGGACCTGGGTTTGTTTTCCAGCGATCACAGACTGACTCACAACTATCTGTAACTCCAGTTCCTGAAGACAGGACATTCTCCTCCAGCCTCGTCCGGAGGCACCAGGCACACACATAGCAGTACACATACACACATGCAGGCAAACACTCAAGCATATTTCAGAAAAGCTGAAGAAAGAGGGAAAGACCATACAGACAACCCATGGCATCTACACTGATAACACCAGTCTTGGTCGGGATGCTGTTTCCCACATCACTGAGAAAACGATGGGGATTCTAGGAGCAGGGCTCAACATTGCATGTGCACCTGTTGGCATTGGTACTCAAGTCCTCTCTTTCCCTGCAGACACTGAAATTCAATCACCCATTCTCCTTTGTAAAGCCAGTTCTCTCCTAGCACTATAGATCCTGTATCCCTCACTGAATGAAAACACCTTTCCCTCCCCCAACAATATCAGCATCCCCTTTTCTTTTAACTGTTAGAATCAACGTAAAATATCCTGCTCTTTTAATGATGAGAAAGACTACTTTTGGCCATACTCCCTATTCCCAGGAGTGTCCCATTTTTCTGTTCTCTTTTTCAATACAACGTCATGGCAAGGTTATTCTCTACTGCGTTCCAATTAGTAAAATACACCTAAGCAAAAGAAGAAATTTGGTAAAATAGAGAATACAAAGGAAAGGATCTTAAGGTCATGCCAAGTACCTAATAGGCAAAGCAATGCTTACTAGATATGTGCAAGTTTCGGAGGATATCATTGTAAAATGTAAAAATGGACAATATTATTACCCGTTCTTCCTTTGGTTGAAGATGACTGTTTTAAATCTCCACTCATACTGGTGATGGTAGCCTTGTAGTTTCGTCCGGGGACCAGGTCCGTAAAGGTGAATTCTCTGGCGTCTTTGGAGAGGGATTTGTGGATGACTAAGAGGTCTCTATCAGTCAGGGAAATGATGTATTTCTCCCATTCCCCTCGGGGGGCCTGCCACATGATGCCCAGCGATGTCTCGTTAGCATGTTTAACACGAAGTTGGAGGACCGCCAGGGGGACTGAGGAAAAACCAGTTGAGACTTGAGGTCATTGATCTAGTCACAGCCATTAGAAAAGTTTAGGGACCATCTGTTCTGGGCTCTGCAGGTGTGGGGTGTGCTCCTAACTGCTCAGCCATTTCGCCAGCCCCAAGATTTCTCTGTTCTTGTAGACCCTTGTTTTGAAAATCATTAAGCAAAATCCCGTGACCACAAAACTATAATGAATAGACTGTTGGACCAGTTGTGACAAGCTCAACAGAGGCCCGAGTCTCAGCAGTTCACTCTAAGGCAATACCTGGTTCCAAGAAAGACCACAAACTGATACCACCCAGGCACCACATAGGAACAGACCCTCCAAAGGAAATTTCTAATGTTCCAACCATTAGATAGGATCACCTGCCAGCTCACGTTCGCCAGGACACCCCTAGACAAATGTTAGCCAATCAGGGGTCTTGAACCTTAGAAATCTATCACCCCAACCTTTGCTATTATTAAAAATCCCACCACAACTGAGCTCGGGGCTCTCTGATCTCTTCAATACATTGGACACATGGAGAGTCTGAGTTCGAACTTGAATAAGAATAAAGGCACTTTGCTTTTACATACAGGACTCGGCCTCCTAGTTGGTTTTTGGGGCACTCCATGATCTGGGCATTCATATAGACTATGCTTGATTATTTAACTGGAGTGAGAACTTTTTACTACTCCCAAAGCTTTTAAAGACCAAGTGCCCCTCCCTTTATTTCTGAGGGAACCCTGCTGTGCCATGGAGGGGAGGGCAACTGGCAAGTTATAATAAGGATCTTAGTAAGGGCAGCCCTTATCTTAAAAGAATCCGAATTCCTTCCTCTTCTTTAAAAGATGTTATCGCTATAATTCTTAGAAGGTATTGCTAACAGCAAAATATTGGTCCCACAAAGCAAGAAGGAAGGTAAATTTTAAAGAGTCAATTATATGAAACTACAATTTGACTTGAAATTTTCTATAGTTCCATGGTAATGGATCACCACATCTTTCTTTCTTTGTCTAAAGAAGTCAGTGTTGGTTAGTGTCAAGGCCTACCTCAAGCTACCTTATTAATCATCCGGAAGCATGGTTTTAAAAAGACCCCTTGGCTTTTTTTTTTTTTTTTTTCCCAAGGTGGCTTGTGAAATCAGTTTGCTGTTGTGTGATAATTTCATCACATTCTGACAGTAAAGTTTGCTTTGAGTCAGAGACTGGAGCTAGCCATTAGCTGACCAAAATTAACCATAGAGGTTTTGGAGGACAGAGGATAGAGAGGAGATAGGAAGTAGTAAGGTGGATGGAGGAACAGGAGAGATAGGAGGTCACTGGTGGCTTCTCCACAGCTTCTCTGATGATTGAGCTTCTTACTCCAATATCCGACTCTTGGTTTTTCTTGGTAAAGAATAATTAGATAAATGTTTCACCTGTTCGCTACTTTAATGAACCAGAAAATCCTGAAAAAAAGTGCAAATCAAGGGGTTCAATTTTTTTGCATCCACTCTAAAGATATTTGCAAAAACACCTAGGCCATCAAGGGCATGCGTTTCTGGGGAAAATCATCAAGTATCTGAAAGACATAATTTTAAAGAAACAGTGTGAACCTTGCAGCCGTACCAGTATGTGGGGTCCATGGCAAACAACGGGGCAGAACACTTGGTCAGTGGCCCCAAGAGAGTGCTGAATTGCTTTTTAACTTGTGTTTATAAATGCATAGAGAGACAGTTAAGGGTTTTGTGTGGATTCTGGCAAGTCTTAAAGATGCACACTGCTCCGAGCCAGATTTCTGAACCCTTCAGCCACATGGATATGAACCTTATCGGGAGAGAACAGATAGTTTCTAAACTAGGAGACGAGGTTCCACAGAAGAAACTGAAGAAATGAAATAGTCTGAAAGCAAATTGAGCAGGAAATAAATTAAAAATCAAAGTTGGAGGAGAGTTCTCCATAGAATTGTGCCAATGATGCTGGTCTCTACTGTTTATTCATCTTACATTTCCTGATTGCTTGAAGTGATTGGCAAAATATGAGGGGGGGGGGTGACAAAGACACCCGGTGCTGTGAGTGGTCGGAGTGTCTTTCTTATGCTGGCCATGCCTTTGATCATTATCCATCAGACATTAATGTTTGGAAAAGGAAAAGATCCCTGAAAGATACAGTTGGTGAGTTAAGTGGCTATCACAATCATCCTGTTTGGCATTCTTCTCATAAGAACATTGGAACAGTGTAGTTATTTCTTTAGCAAGCAAGACTAAGAGAGGTGAATCTCACTGTAAGGATGAGCTATTCTATGTCCCAACGATCTTCAAAGAAATGTTGAACTTGGAAGGATAACCATCACACTTGAAAGTTGAGAAGACAGATTTTACGGCGTGTGTGTGTTAATATCTGCCAAAGAAATGCAATATAAAGGTGTCAAGAAAATGATCAAGATCCATGTGTCCTAACCCTGCCTTTCCTGTCATATCTCTCTCCACCTCAGTCATTCATCCCCGCTACATGAACTCCTCCAAGTAGTCAATACTAGGACAAGGCAATGGGAACTGGGTTATAAACACATTTTGGAAGATCGGTCTTTAGTCTCAGATTGCGTCTTTCCTGTTCTTTTGAATTTAAAATGGCTTTTCTTGGGGCTGGAGAGAGAGCTCAGTGGTTGAGAGCACTTGCTGATCTTGCACAGGGCCTGGCTTCAGTTCCCAGCCCTCAGGTTGGACATCTCACAAGTTCTTTTAGCTCACGTTCTTTGGGATCCTCTGCTCTCTGCTGGACTTGGACATACCGCCCTCCTCCAACCAACACAAAGTTTAAAGATCATAAAAAATACATCTTTAAAATGCTTTTTCTTTCATGAAATAATGGAGTTACCAGTGGATAGGAAGCCTGATGTTAAGATTTGACAAAATTAAATGTTAAAAACTCTGTTAACCTCTTAACACTTCATCTCGAGGGAGTACAGAAATAAAATGTCTCTGGTTACGTGAGACAGGGAATGAATTAAGCTCTGCCAATCACGAACCCCTTCGCGGTTGTTTACCTGTCCTGCCTCGGCAGCGTTCAGAATTCCTCAGGTTGCCACTCTCAACAATGACTTCCACCTCGTACTGTCTTCCTGGTACGAGCTCCACAGCATCCATGACATAGTGCGTTTCCTCCTTTCCCACGGTGGCATTGAGCAGCACCACCGATTCATTGAAGAGCAAGATGCGGTAGTGCTCCCAGTCTCCAGCAGGGGGCGTCCAGTTCACTGCGAAGGACTTCATCCAAATCTCATTGTAGGAAACCAGATTCCTCACTTTTTCTGGAACTAAACAAGGACACGCCAAAAAGGCGTTAAAAATGAAACTTAAGAATGCCCATTTTCTTTTCATAGGAAGCCATATATAAAGTACACATCGTCTGCTTTTGTACACATTTGTGTCCCTTCCAGAGATCTGTGTACCTCAGGTGAGTACTTTTTCTTTCATTTTGAAGACATTTGACATCCAAGACACACACGTGAAAATCATTCCATTACACAACAGTTATGCACTCTCTTGCAACACTGTTCCTAGCCTAGTGACGCGATGGCTGTTTTTCTTTGCTTGTCTGCCATCCCTGGAGAGATCACACTGACGTTGCATCTCACGGTGCGACATCTTTGGGAAAAGATGCTGGACGCTGTGGTCCTGAAACAGTCTTATTTTTTTTATTCCAACTGCGCAGAACAAACTTTTTGCATCATAGCTTTAGGCACGTTTTGAGTACAAAGCATTCTGAGTCTTTTTTAAAAAAAACGACCAAATGAAACCCCGGGTCCTTCCTTTACATCCGCGTCTCTACAAGATCAGACTTGTTCTCCTCCTAGACCAACCCTTGACTTCTCCCGCAGCCATCCCTCCTTCCCTCTTCCTTTCCGCGTGTTCAGGGCAGTGTGCTGCAGGGCTGTGTCTCCTGAACTCTGACTTCTGAGCCTTTGTTCCTATAATTTTTCCTCTCACAGACTTCCTTTCTTCCCCCTTTTATTTTTCAGGAAGTTTACAGTTTCTAGGTTCTGCTGCAAGGACATTTCCACTAAGCATCTACTTTTCTGAAGGGGAATGTCGCTCTTGGTCCCTTTGGGGTATATAGCTTTTTCTTGAGACCTCTAATGGCACTGAGATGGGGCTCAGATTGAACCACCTGGTTTAAAGTCAAGCTCTAGAATGTTCTGGCCAGATGACCATGAACAAGTTTTTTAATCATTCCAGGTTATCTGTACAATGTCTACACTAATGATATAGCTATTAGCTCACAGTTTTCTTGCAGTAAATAAATAGATGAAATAGGTGTAAAGTGTTTATATGGGGCCTGATATGTGAAATTAATAATGCCATTAGCATTTCTAAAGGGTTCTATTCTTGGTGTGTATGTGTATTAGTCTTTGACTAAAATGTAAGATATATTAAGCTAAGGTCGGTTAAAAAAAACCCCTCATATTCAACTACATAAATGACCCTGGAAAGATCCTATTTTCATTTGGGGAAATACAAAAACAAGCCACCAAGTGGGTTTGCCCACAGAGTGTACTTTTCAGAACCTTGCCCGAAATCAATAGCACATCATAACCACTTTTAAAGTGTCCAAGGTTTGTAATCCAGCAATTTATTCAAATAAAGAACAAGATAACTGCTCAGTAACATAAATTAATAAAATTATTTCTACGGCACACAGTTAAGTGCTAACATCGCTTTATTGTAAGGATGAACCAGAAATGCCCTCTCTCTCGACACTGATGCTCGTGCATGTGTGTGACTTAGGTGACATGGCACGAGAGAGCACAGAGCAAGGCCACACGCAGGCCTCACAGGAACCCAAGCATATTTGTTTAATTGACAAATTGTACACAATTAACCCTCTACGTTCCTCTGCTCTTGGGTTCTCTTCTATAGGCATTCTTGGTCATAAAGACTCTCCTTCCCAAGGAGGAAAAGAAGCTCCCTTCTACATGATTTTGTCATATTCTGAGATAGATTTGTGCATGACTGAGGCAACCAAAGACTATTTTGGGGGCTGACATACCGGTCCTACCCATCGCCATCTTCTGAGCCGATAGTTCACCAGAGACGCTGCTGATGGTAACTTGGTAAAGCCGTCCAGGGACTAAGTCTTTAAATTGAGTTTCGGTAACACGAGGCGCTAATGTTTTGGATTCCTTGACGGTCCCTTGGTGAGACAGGGTGATGTTGTAGGAATCTGTATCTCCAAGGGGTTTCTGCCACGTGACTTTCAGAGAGGTTGAGCTGGCATCATTTGTCACCTTCAGACTGGAGACTTCCATAGGAGCTAATTAGCAACGGATGAAGCAGAGATATTACTCCTCGGATCTTGTCCTCCCTATGACCACATTTTGACCTAAACTTTAACGCCAGCAGGACATACTGTTTGATCAAGAGAAAAATCACTTGAGAGGCAAAACAATACTGGAAATCCAAGAAAGACCATGCTATGGCAAGAACGCCATCTTGCAGCCAGGAGCCTGGATTCTGGCTGGGACTTGGCAATCTGCCCCCAGAAGACTGGACAGTTCTCTGTTAGTCTCTCTGTGCCTCGTTGTTCCCCAGCGAGTGAAGCTTGGTTAGAAGGTTTTCTGTGTTCCTTTGCAGCTCTGGGATTCTTTAGATAGAATTCACAAAGAAGTCTGCCCTCTACTTAATTTCTTTTTGCATGTGCCTGTCTGTGTTTATATATTTAATAGTCTTAAGCACACACTAAACAGGTTGATTAGTTGGTAGTTGTAAATATTTGTGTGCTAAAATACTTTTTACCAGGTTTTGTTCTTGTGTGTATGCATGTGCGTGTGTGCATGTGTGTGTTTATGTGTGTGTGTGTGTGTGTGTGTGTGTAAATGTATGTCACATGTGTCCAAGTGCCCACAAATGCTAGAAGAGGACATTAAGTCTAAGGAGCTGGAGTTACAGGCAGTTATGAGCTGCCCACTGAAGGTGCTAGAAACTAAACTCTGGAAGAGCAGCCAGCCCTCTTAACCGCTGACCCACCATATTTCTTAGACCCACTGAAATACTTTTTATATTAAGTCATGATCAAGAGCTGTGTTACTCTTTCATCAAAGGAAAACTCATGACAAGAAAGAAGCTTTGATGAATACTTTTCCTCCCTCTTACATGCACTGTAACTGTTCCTGATGACATAATAGAAATTAATAAATTGCTAAAAGGGTGATTATAGCACAGTGATTTTGCACAGTATGCTCAGAAGTGCAATTTGCTTGTCTGTCTGTCTCTCTGTCTCTCTCTCTCTTGAACTGTCTCTCTTTCTCAAACTGTCCCTTTGTCTCTCTCTTTCTCTATCTCTACCTTCCTCTGTCTGTCTGTCTTTCTGTCCCTCTCCTTCTCTCCAGTACAGGACGGCCTAGAACTTGCTTTATAACCAAGGTGATCCTCAAACTTGTGATCCTCCTGCCTCAGCTTTCTGAGAGCTGGGACTGCAGGTGTACACCTGGCTGCATTTGTTCTTGATATGTATAGATAGCTCTTAAGACATCTTGTGCATTTTTCTTAGGGACATCACATATTTTGGGGGTGTGTTACAAAAAATATGCATGTATGTAGGAGTTTCCAGTATCTTCTTCCTCAGCTTCCTATAGTCCCAGATACTCTTCCTTCTAGAACAATGTCAATGGTACTATCTATTTTACATATTATTTTAAAATGAGATAACTACAAAGAGAAAAAGTTTATCAACACATTACACTAATTAGCACCATTCAAATGTGAGCTCCATGAGAACTCGGGCATTGTCTAACTTGAAGGATACGAACTTGCAATGCTAGACATATGCCTAACGCACAGTAAGTACTGACTAAATGAATCACATTAATAAGTAGCACCAATTAGCTTTTTCAGTGTAGGTTAGGCTGTCTGACGCATTGTATTTTCTTGGGTAGAAGGTTTTGGAAATGACTGTCATACAAGAACGTATCTCTGTACAACACCAACAAAAGCACCCTCAACTCACTGTGGGTGATCACAAAGATAATAGTAGATGCCTATTTATGAGTCAGAAGTAGGGAGCCTTAAGCATGTATTAAATGGAGAAATTTGAACCATGTCGTAACTTCAAAATACCACCAAGGGCTACCTTTAATTTTAGACAAAAAGAGAACTATTTTTCTTTAATCAAGTGGATGTCTGTTCAAGTCTTTCTATAACTCCTATGAATTTCAATTTGTCCATTATCCAAATGACAAACCTGATTTAAACCTGGTTTGAGCTTTGCTCTTGTTTAGTTAAAGAAGAGGAACTTACCCGTCCTCACTAGTTTCCACCTATAGTTTTGTAGTCCTGAAGCCATGGTGATAATAGTGAGGTTGTACAGGCGTCCAGGGGTCAGTCCATACAAAGTATAAGACGTATCATGTCTGTCCACGTTCCTCTCTTGGACTAAGGTCCCTTTATCCATGAGCACCAGCCTGTATTGTTCCACGTTCCCAGAACCACGAGACCAGGAAATTAGGAGAGAATTAGGAGTGGGGGAGATGTCAATGTCTTTCACAGGAGACGGTACTAGTGGGATAAAAACACACATTACAAGGTCAAGGTAATCATTCATAATCCCCTTGTAGAAAACATAGACATAGTTCTTTAATTTACATATTTATTTATACTTCCCTTTGTATCTTAATTTGCATCATAGCAATAATTAGTAATGATCCTCTTGAGAGTTCACTGGAACCTTCATTAACCACTTATAAAATCCATAGGCTTTAAGGGCTAAAGGGACATTATAGATGGTCTATTTTATCTCCTCTGCTTTATAGATATTAGGGTAGGTGTCGCCAAGGCAGTGTTACCAATGACAATAAATCGGGGAGATAAAGGAACAAACCGTAGGAGATGACAAATGGAAAGAGACAGGGGTAACCAGAGACAGAGACGAAAGCAAGCTACGGGAGAGTCATGCATTTTCTGGGAGTGGCATCGTGACACATGGGGACACTTGATAGATTGTTTTTCGTCATATTCAGGAAGCAAACACTTACTTTAAACACAGAAGTACTCAGAAGACATCATAACTTGATATTATGAGAATATATGAAAGAGGAAAAGTAAGCTTTGTGATGCAAATTTGGAAAATGAGGCAGAAAATCTCATTGTCATGGGTTTGAATTAGACATGTAGGGAGTATCTATTTTAAATAAGAGAAAATTCTGTTTTCAGAGAAATCTGGTGACTTGTTCAAAATCACCTAGCCAAGTAGTAGTACATTCACATACCCTACGCTTAGTCCAGTCTCCTCTCCCTTATAACCGCCTTTTGAAAGGTTATTTACTTTTGTCACGTATGACAGTATGATTGTGGCAGAGTCCCATTTCCTTTGATAACTTATCATTTTGAAGGTGCCACATAGGGCTGGACAGTGTTTGCCTAGCACGCAGGGGTCTCTGGGGTTTCATCCCTAGCACCATCAATATGAAGAAAAAGAAAAAAAACCATATTACATGCTATTAACCATAGACAATACAGATCTTACCTGTTGACCCATTGGTATACACGGGAAAGGAACGTTTTTCTCCGGACACAGCCATGACGGCGATTTTGTAATTACTACCAGCAGTGAGGTTCGACAAAGTGCATTGGCTCCGTGTGGTACTCTCTTGAACTTGGACCTCTTGTATCTTTTGATTGTTATCATCAAATAGTTGCACCTCATACCACGTGACTTTTCCAGAAGAAGGGGTCCACCTCACCTGCAGGGTGGTTGAAGTTGTCTTCTCCGGACTGACTTCAAAGCTAGCAGGAGGCGAAGGGTCTGCAAGGCAAACACCATCAAAGAGAAGGCAGCATGAGGGCTTTGAAACTAACTGTTTATTCTGCTGCAGCCAAGGGTCATTTTCCTTAAAAATTTAAAGAATCTGCTACCTGGTGGGGAAAATCCGGCCTGTGGTTACACCTGCAAACCCACTGTTTGATTTTTTTTTTTTCAAAGACAGGGCTCCCTTACTTATTAGTGACTATTTGATAAGACTTTCATTAAGGTAGATCTGACCTTGACAGCTCAATTAGTGTTTTGTTTGACTTGCAAATTCAGCATTTTTTGAAGACAGTGACAAGCATCCAGCCTGTGCTTGATTAAATATCGACGATCCAACCAGAAAATACAAACTATTAGGAGATAATAGGCATTTGAAATTTGCACTCTGTCTCTTCCTAGGTTGTGGACTCTTGGTGTCATTTTAACACATAAGTTTGGGTAGCTTTCAGCTGTTAGATAATTCCAAAAGACACAGATTAGATACTGATTTTGAAATAGACTTGCTTACCAAAATCAATGTTCCCAATTGCTGGAATTACCAATATCCCTAGATTTTTAAGATCTTAGTTCTGGAGCATGCTGGAGTTGCCAGGAACCCTAGAGCTGGTAGAATTGATAGTGTTTTGCACCTAACAATTCACTTCATTTCAGTTCTCAGAGTCAGGGATGGTTTGGGGAACACATGTCTGCCCTTGCTGAATCTCCACCACTGAACTGCAATCAGGACCAGATTGGGAGCTAGGTCAACAGCCTTTCACACGCAGCTATTCACCAGGCATAGTGACAGTCAAACATATGAAATTAGACTGTCTTGACTTTGCATGCAGAGACCAGAACCATGGAGAAACATCCACATGAGAAAAATTAGCAGTCCTTCATGGTTCCTGGCCTCAAAAGTCAGAATGAGGTATTGAAGAGCAATGCATAAGTCAGGCCATTTGTTTGAGTGGCATAGGTATACAGACCTCAGCTCTATCCACCTGCTGCATTTTCTTCATGACGGCAAGAATTACGAACCTTATACGAAGAGTGCCATTTGCAGAAGATGCTCATTTGCTATTAACACAACTCCAACAAGTAAGCTAACCTCACTTTATATTCAAATGGCATTTGTGAGCAGATAGTTCATAAAGACTACCTATGGGTGAACAAGATATCATATGTGCAATACAGTTTATGAAATCCCATGCCTTCACATTTTATGCTATTAACTGTATGAATTCATCATTCAGTAAAAATTAAATCTGACACTAATATATCAATAATTGTTAGAAATATACAGAATAGCTGACAAGCAAATTAAGGCAGTATCTCAGAGAGAGGGCCCCGAGCGCATTTGAGCTTTGAAGACAAACACCCTTCACCCTGTGTTTTCAGCCCCTGTGTTCACCCAAAGGGACTGTGCTTTAACACACGGAGGCTTTGAATCTGGCCCTATGGCTTGGTTGTTCTATACTTAGTTTGTAATGTTTGAAGTCAGCTGTCATTATGGGTCCTATTACACGCTGATAATCGGCCATGGAACCAGTGGCATAGTGTCCCAGAGAGCATGGACTTGGATCAGAAGGAGCTGTGTTCAAATCTTGCTCCCTTGTATACCACTTCTGTGGTCCTGTGAGTGAGTGGTGCTCCATCAAAACTTCTATCTCTCTGTTTGTCTGGAATGTAATGATGATGATGATGATGATGAATACCAGAGTTCCAAGGAGTTTTGAGAGCAAATCAGATATAGAGGAGATTTTACCCAGCATGCAATGGGTACTCAGTACAAAATCTTATTTTGGTTCCCTTTATTGAAGAAATAAACGTTTTCTTCTGAATCGCTGATAACAAGGAGGCAAAAGTAAAACAAAAAATCGCAAACTAAACTGACAATGTCCTCAATTGCTTCTGTTATTTTTTAGAAAAAGTCTTGTCTTGGTAAAATTTTGGAACTAATTTTCTAATTCAAGCTAAAATAACTTTCCAAGATGATTTTTATGCATATTTTTTTCATTGAGAACTATAGCTTTTTTTGGGGGGGAGTGATGGAGGAGGTAATGTTATTTACATTTTCTGTCCTACACAGGACACGCCATATTGAAAGGAAAGAAGGTAATTTCCCTCTCACACAAGGTTTATAGTTGCCTGACAAGAATAAGATACCCAACATCATGAGACCCCAATAGCCAGCAAGCCTTGAGAACAGTACTATGGGACCGAAAAGAAGTATTTTTGCTGAAGTAACATTTTAAGGACAAGGGTGAAGGAGATAGTTGCACTCAGTGCCAGTTCCAAAGAGATAAATCTTGCCATCTTTGCCTACTACCAAGCCAGGTAAAGGTTAAATAAAATGTTATGATCACTATAATCTCTATATACATAATCTACAAAGTGTGAGCTGTGAAAAAAACGAATTTTAAGGTTGCGTGCCTAGAGGTTGAGCTTCAGAAATGCAGACTTCATCTAATCTCTCTGAGCCAGAAAACAAAACAGTCAATCCTTCGTACATCCGGCAGAACAAAGAAACAATGAAGCTGGGAAGTGTCTGGACCGCGAGAACCTGCCCTGGAAACAACACTTAAAACCCCATTTAGACTGCGATAAAGCCCAGCGCTGGCAGTGGTCCATGGCCGCTCTGCATGCCGCAGAAGCTAAAGAGTTGGTAGAATTCTTTTTCATCTAAGCCCAATGAAAACTTCACGGTATTAAAAACATTCCGAGTTCATAGTAGATATAAGTCTTACACTCCTATTTGGGGTGCATGGTTCTTTGGTGTGTATCAGTGTGTGTGTGATGTGTTTGTATGTGTATGTGTGTGTGTGTGTGTGTGTGTGTGTGTGTGTACTGGAACACAGGTGTGCCATGGCATGTATGTGGAGGTTAGATCACAAGCTTGGGTGCCCTTGTATTCCACCTTGTTGAAGGCAGGCTTTCTTTGTGGTCGTCACCGCATCCACCAGGCCGACTGGCCCATGAGTTTCCTGGGATTATCTTTCCTCTATTACCCATCTTGTCTTGGAAAAATTAGGATTATAGATATGCATTACCGCGCTTGTGTTTGTGTGGGTTCTGGGGATTCCAACTCAGGTCCTCACAGTTGCATGGGAAGCATTTAACCCACTGAGCCATCTCCCGCCCCAAATTTCATATGTATGTGTGTACGAATGTATGTATGTTTGTATATTGTGGGGGAATTTGAACATTGTTTGACAATTCAGTTCTATAACTGCCAGCCCGAGTTTTCTGTTCTCAAAAGAAAAGACAAAGCTTGGCAAAATTCCTAAGCCAAAATGAATTATGTTTTCCTTTTAAAAAAAAGTCGCTTGGAAAGGAGAAAATTATATTTCTAATGCAAACAATATTTAATTCGCATAATTCTTATCAGTGAGGTTACTAAAATCATTAGTGTTTATTGATACACAGATTTCTAGGCTTAACATGTGAAATGGTTGGGTTTAGTTTAGGAATGAAGCTAAATCCAGAAGAGTGCAGCCAGCTGCTGCACTGGTGTCAACAGCGATCTGGGACCTAGGTTAGAGCTGCATAGAACGTCAGGATTCACAGTGAGCCTCTTCTCCTGGAAGGGAAGCTGAGGCACCAGGAAGTACAGCCAAATATCCAACACCTGGGTACAAGCTGCGTGGTCTTCCCAGCACGGGAAACGCTGCCCTGAACTGCATATCCAGTGTAACCACAACCAACGACGTGTTTGTGGAAATGCCAGGCATGCTTTTACTGCGCCTCAGTTGAGAGCATCCTCAGCGTGAGTAACAGCAACGGTGACACCTATGTGCACTTCTGGGCACATGAAAGCTCCCTGGAACTACTGATGTGTTTATCGCGTTGGGAAGCGAAGTGGGAGTTTATTTAGAAGTGGCTGTAGCATAGAGCTAAGCACAAGCTTTGAGAGTGTGGGAAAGAGACACACAGAACAGCAGCCAGAGTCATGCCCTGGAGTGGATGTTGGCTTCTCAAGGGAGTCTTCCCATTGAGTTTTTAGAGCATTTTCCTTATCTGCTCCTTTCCCTAGTAGTTTTAACACATTTACCCGAGGTCCTATCACTTTGTGCTAGATTGCTGCAAGAGACATTTAGGTGTTTTCCTTATGCCATGTCTTTCCTCCACTATTGTCAATTTACTTATGTGTGCCTCTCCTCGCTTCTGTCCTCACTGCCATTGAAGCAGCAAGAACTCCACCAGCATCTGCTTCAAGGTGGAGCTCAGGTGTCTTCACAGGCATTCAAGGGTTTCCTGACTCTCGATGGCACCTTTCTTTCTAATTACTTCTTTCTTTACCGTCTCACTCAAGCTCAGGGGACCTTTGTGGACCCAGAGTCAAGTTTTGAGAGCTTTACAGAAACCGGGGTATCTACCCTTCTTATTTAAAAGCAGGCGGGTAGCTAGCTTGATTGATTGCAAACCACATCTACTTGGCATTTTGTGTAAGCTGAAATGGGCATCAGGGATTCAAATCAACTAATCAGAGGGGTTTTCTTTTTCATGGAAATTCACGGGGTGTGGAGTAATAATCTCAAATAATTCCTGGTACATGCTCTTGAAAAGGAGAAGAAAAATGGCACAGGAAAGGAATTTCCCACAGTCTCCAGCACACTCAATCTATTTATTGTGGAAAGAATTTCTTTTGTTGTTATTGCTACTTGACTACTGTCCAGCAGGTCTCAACCGGTGGGTCACACCCCCTTTGAGGAGGTGTCGAATGACCCTTTAACGGGGTCACCTAAGACCATTGGAAAACATTACAATTCTTAACAGTAGCAAAATTACAGTTATGAAGCAGCAATGGAGATAATTTTGTGGTTGAGGGGTCATCACAACATGAGGAACCGTATTAAAGGGTCGCAGCATTAGGAAGGTTGAGAACCATTGCTATAATTGGTTTTCTTTCTTACCTTAAATATGTTACAATACATTATGTTAATGTGGAATATAAACTATTGAGTCAGTACATCAGGTTACTGGTCATGAGATTTACACTAAGAGTAAACTTCAGCCAC